AATGCTGTTGCATTTTGGGCTTGGGGTGTATCATATACCACTGACCTTTCTCATTTGACCCCTACGATAGTTAATTTAAACAGTGTCTACGTTTGGTGCATACGTTTTGAACTGTAGCACTTTAATTGACAAAACTTTGTACGCAGAAGCATCATACTGACATTCAATTTCAGAATTTACAGTATGAACCTCACACTTTGTTTCTGGGTCAGTATGATTCTTTAAGATTGACCTATAATTAACAATGTGTCAACTCAACACAGAGGCAAAGATTAATATATCAAATGAATGGCTGAAAACCAAAAATCTAAAAATGCCATTGTCTCAATGCTGAATTTCACAGCAGCAACTAAAATGTATTACATGGTTATAAAATTAAGTACCTCTACGAATCCAGTGTATATTAACTTTTTATTCCTGTCTAAATATTGCCATTGTTGATTAAAGCCTTTCAAATTAATTCACTTTCATTACAGTTGTATTGATTTGAGTTTGCTGTCTTATTTAAGTTAAGAGATGTGGTATTTTTTGCGAATGAACCAGCTATCCAAAAGAGTTCAAAGGAGGAAGATATATAAACAATTATAGGTCACCATACGGTCGTCAACAATGAGAAATGTCATATCATATAGTAAGCTATAAAAGGCCCTGATATAAAAAATGTGGAACATTTCAAACAAGAAAACTAACTGCTTAGTTAGTAATAATACAATTTACTAAAAACAAATATGAAGGACTTAAATCAATAAAAAATACTAAAATCACAGGCCCTTTACATGGGATGGACACAGAAAGAAATTAACAGAGCTTTCTGTATATTTGATTATTTTAAATCTACAGTTTAAGGTTGCAATAGAAATTATCGAAATTTTACATGACAAACATATGAAAAAAAAAGATGATATTTGTTAATTGCTGATGAGACAATGGTTTAGGAAAGAACATCAAAGCTGTGATTAAATACATATTTGAAATAATACACATCTACAACCTATTTGAAATAATACACATCTACGTTGCAAACTTTCCACAGGTGCTATCCAGCACTTTGATTATGTTTTGGTCAGTTTTTCAAATATTATAAACAATAGGTCAACTATATTTGGTGTATGGAATGATTATAAGGTGTTCATGTCTGTCTGGCAGGTGTCATCTGTCCTTGACTTCATTTTTTATTGTTCATTGGTCAATGTTAATTTTCAGTATTAATGTTCTTTTCTAAGATACTAAAAGCAATAGGTCAACTATAATTGGTTTATGGAATGATTGTAAGGTGTACATGTCTGTCTGGCAGGGCTCATCTGACCTTGACATCATTTTCATGGTTTGGTCTGTTTCTTGTATATTATAGTCAAAAGGTCATCTATATTTGGCGTAATTGTAATGATTGTAAGGGGTATATGTCTTTTTGGCATGGTTTATCTGACCTTGACCTCATTTTCTTGGATCATTGATAATGTTAAGTTTATGTGATACTTGTAGTAAACTTTATCTTCTGGACTATCAACATAAAATAAATTATGAATATTAAAGCAGACGATACATGACATTTCACTCTTGTTTATCAGTATATATGACTTTTAATCCCAGCTTCACTTGACAGGTGTAGGGTTACAAACCAATACCAAAATTACTTCCATTTGATTATTGTAACATTCAATTTTTTCTTATTTAACACTGATTGCATATTACTCTTTTTTTCATCAATATATATTAATTTCAATCCTGTTAAAACTATCATGTTGATGTTTATATCAAACATTTAACATTTTGTTGAGGTTATAAGTTGTATATTGAATTGAGTACTAATAATTGTTAATTACTATTAAATGATTAGTATAAGGTCAAGATGCTTGTTTATCTAAAAAGTAAAATCACAAAAATACTGAACTCCGAGGAAAATTCGATCGGAAAGTCCCTTATCACATTGCAAAATCAAATGACAAAACACATCAAACGAATGGACAACAACTGTCATATTCCTGACTTGGTACAGGCACTTACTGCTTGCAAAAACATGTATACATCTATTAATTGACATATACAAGAAGTAATCTCATAATAATGTTATTGTTACTAAATCAGAACTGTTAAGATATATGAAAGAAGGGGGACTTTCAAATTAAAGCTCCACAAATGTCTTTAATTGTTAGCTCACCTGGCACAAAGGGCCAGAGTGAGCTTTTGACATCACTTGGAGTCCGTCATCGTCTTTTTACTTTTACAAAGATCATCTCCTGAAACTACTGAGCCAAAGTTAACCAAACCTGGCCAAAATCATCATTGGGGTATCATGTTTAAATAAAATGCTTCGCCGAGCGCAGCCTGATACGACCGCAGAGGTCGAACCCTGAACAGTTGGGGCAAGTTTGGACACAATATTGAAGCTTGATACTGTCTGAATTTAGATTGTGATCAAATTTTTGACATAATATAGGTTTCTGACACAAAATAAATGTGGTCAAAGATCTTAAAAATTTGAAATGGAACTCATTTAATTTACCTAGTATGGTTTGATATCCAAAATCTAACAACATGGTTAGAATCAGCATAAAAAAAACACCAAAAAATTAATTTTAGTTGAAATCAAACCAAGTTTAATTTTGGACCGTTCAAACCTTAATATGGACTTATTTGAAAACAGGGCCCAAAATAAAACATATAAATGCACAATAAGATTCAGCATATCATAGAGCCGGAATAATTCAGTTTTTGTTGAAACAAACAAAGTTTAATTTTGGACCCTTAGGACCTCAATGTAGACAAATTTAAAATGGGGCCCAATATCCAAAATAGTAATACAAGGTTAGAACCCCCCATGATTAAAAACTTTAAATTAATCCTATTAAAATTGGTTTAAAGATTTGTATTTATTTTCAATTGAAGATTTCTTGCTATTGCGCAATACTGTGCTGTTGCACAATACTTAGTTAATCTGTTATAAATAATAATTTACACACCCTGTTTGGTGTGTATCTCCTGCCATATCAGTATTTGTTGCTTTTATATATAAATCAAAAATAATCTATGTAAAAATGAAAAATATTTGGGAAAAAACCCCAAAAAAATTATGAAAAAAAAAACCTCAAAAATTTTTTACCTCCCCCCCAAAAAAAAATATGAAATTTTGAAAAATCTTTAATGAATTTTGAAGAAAAAAAATATGAGCTCCCCAAAAAAATTTGAAAAAATCACCCCCCCCCCCCCCCCCAACTTTTTGAAACCCCGCCTCCCCAAATTTTTTTGAAATTTGGAAGATTTGTGATATGGAACCTTGTAGTACAATTTCAGAGAGATCCATATACTTATACTCAAGTTATTGTCTGGAAACATCTAGAAAAATGCTTGTTTTTGGCCCCTAATTCCTGAACGTTTGGGGCAATCACCCCCAAACTCAATCCCAGCCTTCCCTTTCAGATTTGGAACCTTGTGGTACGATTTCAGAGAGATCCATACACTTACACACAAGTTATTGTCCTGAAACTACAAAAATGCTTGTTTTGGCCCAATTCTTAAAATGTCATTTTAATGTTATATTTAACATCCCCATAAAAGCTGGAGGTTTATCTAGCCACAAAACCAGGTTCAACCAACCATTTTTTTCTTAAAATGTCCTGTACCAAGTCAGGAAAATGGCCATTATATTATAGTTCGTTTCTGTGTGTGATACATTTTAATGTTGTGTTTCTGTTGTGTCGTAGTTCTCCTCTTATATTTGATGTGTTTCCCTCAGTTTTAGTTTGTAACCCGGACATCTTTTTTTCTCAATCGATTTATGAATTTCGAATTTCGAAAAAAAATTTCTGGAGGGGGGTCAATTTTTTTCCTCCAGATTTGAGAAATTGTCAAATTTCCAAAGAAAAAAATTGCGAGTCACAATTCATTTTACTAATTTGTTTGTATATAGTCTGAAAACAGATTTACTAAGTATTGCGTAACAGCACAGTGTATGCACAAAAGCAAGAAATCTTCAATTGAATATAAATTCAAATCATATAACCAATTTCAAGTTCTTTGACTACATTTATTCTGTGTCAGAAACCTATAATGTGTCAAATTTTTAATTACAATCCAAATTCAGACCTGTATATCAAGCTTGAATATTGTGTCCATTTTTGCCCCAACTATTCAGGGTTGGACCTCTGCGGTCGTATCCAGCTGCGCTCAGCGAAGCAGTTTATTCTTTTTATCATGACAGATGTCAATCTTAAAGTACATTTATTTGATAACAATGACCAAACAAGCAAGCAAATTTAAAAAACTAATGGTATACATACTGAAGTATAGTAGCTTCAAAAGATATTAGCCTGGGTTATCACAATTGAATTGTACATAGTAACATTGTATGGGACATATTTCGATCTATATTTCAGCATAAATAAATTAAGATGTGAATATGGCTAAATCCTAGTTTGTTAAGTGATGTCTAAGGAAAGAATAGGAACAAATAATGTCAAATGTTTTAGTACATATAAAAAATTACTCCCGACTCCTTAAAAAAATAAAAGAAGAGTGAGTCCATTGGACACAGATGCCCCATTTGTAAACCTGCAGTAAATTCAGCAATTTTTCCATTTATAAAGGGACATAACTCAAGAACCCTGAAAATGATGATACCCAAATTCGAAACTTGATCTGTGTTTGGTGGTAATAAGTATTGTGTAATAGTTTCATAACATTTGATTAAGGCAAAGTTACTGGGGAAATGGCAAATTCAGCATTTTTTTTTTCATTTTTAAAGGGACATAACTCAAGAACGGTGAAAGTGATACGATATTGATCTGTGTTTAATGGTAATAAGCATTGTGGACAAGTTTCATAACATTTGGTTGAAGCAATCTAAAGTTAGAGAACGCAAACCAATTTCAGGACGAACGTTTGAATGAGATTGTTACAATTTAAAACAAAACTTTTGGCATAAACATTTGGTGATGACAAAGTAAGATATAACTGTTTTACTTCTTTTCTGTGCAGATTTCTGAACATATTTTGAACACATATATAATTCAACATTTATTTCTCGTATAAAGACCTTTACCAGAAACATTCCATAATCAGTAAACCAAAACAAATATATGGCACTAATACCCAAGCAGAAGATTTTACACATTAAAAATCATTGAAATAATCAGACTTTAACAATTTATAATTTTGGGTTAAATATCTATAACAGCTTCATAATATTTATACAGAGCAGGATCACAGGGCAATGACAGAAAAGAATCCTATTTAGAAGACAATTATCTAAACTCTATGTTTCTTAATGAAATTAATAAGTCCATTTGTAGAGGAATCATGAGTTGAGATCAGATCGTTATTCTTCAGTTCTGGTTGGATGACTTTAGTAAGCTGTTTGCCCAATGCAACACTGAAAATAAATAAATACAACTATACTAATGGTTTAATACGACTCCACTTTAAAAGCTTGTCAGCAGAAAAAATAAAAAATATCTGGATCAAATACATTTCCTATGAAAATAAAGTAGACTTCGGCAAATCGGATACCCAAAATGTATCACATTACATTACGATAAATGTATATTCATTGAATATTCTGTAATAATGAGTAGACCTAATCCTGAGATGTTACTAGCCCTGACCACTGTTATATATATGAAAGGGCTGGAGTGATTTTTATCAGTTACATCACCACAATGTTTGTGTAAAAAATCATCAGCTGGTTATGTAATGCTCATATTTGTTTTCAGTTTTTAAATCTTATATTTATTAAAATAAATCAAATGTCCTGAAATATGTATGTGAATAAATATCTACCATCCGTAGTTTGTGTCTTTATTTGTTTTGTAAATGAATTAATATCCATTATTTACATTTATCACAGCATGCACAGGTAAGCCAATTGGGCTTTAAATAGATCAAAACATGTTCAGTCTCTAAACTAAACTCGTATTAAGTTTGTTATACATTTTATTCCTTTAAATAATCAAATTTTATTTTTATGAAGATCATCATGCATGATTGATAAAATATTATTGCATCAAGTTGTAATTTTCTGAAGACTGTTTATATTTAGGTCATGGTTCTCGAGGCTTCTTCACATTTTGTAAACAAAACAAAATGGCGTCCATGACATGTGGTGACGACATTATCAGCAGAAAGACAGCAGACATCATGACCAGAGAGACAAATGACATCATGACCAGAAAGACAATCGACATCATGACCATAAGGTGGAGTCTACTTTATAGCTAAATATGTTTAAAACCTTTTTCATATTCAATGATCAAATTATTAATCAGTTTTGTGTTTAAGACAAAAAGACAATATATAGTTTATTATTAAGTATACATACCCCCATGCATCATATGAGTTGATGTCCCAGATTGTTCCTTGTACAAATATTTTTTGTTCATACAAAGCTGTAAAACATGAGATAAATTGTGAAATATTATCAACATATAATGGTGTATGTTAAGATGGAAATTTTCTTTCATACTATTTGTCTCATTGTATGTCTAAATGACCAGTCATTCAAATCAAAGTATAAGGTTAACAGGAAGTTGTTGAGTGATGAATATGAAAACGCATCACACGATAAAGCTGACTTATATAAACCCTGAAACCAAATTTCAGAAATCCTTGTAATGTAGTTCCTGAGAAAAATGCGACGAAAAATATCCATGGGACAGACTGACGGACTGACGGATGGATGGATGAATGGACGAACAGACAGAGGTAAAACAGTATACCCCACTTTTTAAAGCACTTCAAAAATTTTCATTTTGTTTGTTAACCTATGTTATACTTACCTATCAGAACACCTAGCATAAAAGGTGTTAATTTCTGGAATAATATGGAATTGCTGGGACGATTTCCTTCAAAAACCTGTAATGGTGAAAAATAATTTAATTATTTTTGTCTATTTTGTGAACTACAAATTTAAATGGTCAATAAAATACAAATTGTGTATGGTGCAATTTGTCTGAAGAAATTGTTACAACCTCGAACTAGAGGCTCCAAGGAGCCTGTGTCGCTCATCTGATATTTTTGTTTACAATTGATGTAACCCGTACGAAATACGCCTGGAAATCTAGCGTAAACCAGGCGGAAGTGGTAGTTACGTGTCCAGATCCAGGCGTAATGGAGTAGGAAACGTAAATTTGTAGCATTTCTAGGCGTGGAAAAAGTTGTAAACCTGGCGTAAAATGAAATAAGCAAGCGTAAATTTTCCTACGGGCGTAAAAATGTTGGAAGCGCGTAAATCATAATACCCATAATGCTTTGTTTAATGGATCATGGGAATTTTTTTTAAAATTTGGCTCTCTGGTATTAGCTTGCAAGAGTTGGACATATGGCAGCTTGAAATATTCAGGGGAAATTAGCTTTTTTTTGTGCTTTTTGGAAGAATTTGAAATTGGAATTATGGAATCAAATTGATGAATGAAAATTGTGAAATGAAAGGAAAGTAGTATACATGATGAAGAATAATTATGTCAGTAAACTAAGATATTAATTTTTATTTTTTAACATTATTTCAAATTCTGGAAACCTTCATCCTTGGATAATAACATTTAAATCTTTCACAAGTTAAATGACAATATTATCATTGATTTTTTAGTTCAAATGACATTAATTTTCAAAACAACTTAGTCCTAATGCTAGGTTTATTTCAAGAAAATTTAATTGTCATTATTCTTATGTCTTTATCTAAATTATAGCTAAGTCTTCAATGGACAATATTTCAAGTTTTATGTCAAACAGTGAGAAATTTAATCAACAGTACAAATGTATCAAATACACAAAATACACAGCAAGGGTAATACACTGATTTAAATTAAATTTAGTATTATGTAAGGATATTACGCCTGGTTTATTCATTGACCAGGCGTACTCATTTGCATATGACGCCTGGTTTTCTGTCGACCAGGCGTACTCATTTAAATATTTCGACTAATTTTACGCCTGGTTTCCGCCTCAGTAACGCGTGGTTTCCGCCTGGTTGACGCCTAGACATGCATTCCTTAAACACTGCAATGACGCCAGGATAAAATATGATTTCTACGCCTGGTTTCCGTGTCATTTACAGGCGTCACATTTCGTACAGGATGAAAGAATGCAACAATAATACTTTTTTTAAAGGAATCTCTGTGGATCAAAATCTAAGCTTTCGTTTGATTTTAACTGCTTTCAACACATTCATCATTTTAAAAAATTGAATTTGTCTGTAGTTTCAGAGGAGGAGATTTTTGTAAAAGATTAAATTACGAAAAAAATGTTAAAAATTGACTATAAAGGGCAATACCTTCTTAAGGGGTCAATTGACCATTTTGGTCATGTTGACTTATTTGTAGAATTTATTTTGCTGAACATTATTGCTGTTTACAGTTTATCTCTATCTATAATGATATTCAAGATAATAACCAAAAACTGCATAATTTCCTTTAAATTACTAATCCAAGGGCAACAACCCAACAACAGGTTGTCTGATTTGTCTGGAAATTTCAGGGCAGATAGACCTAGACCTGTAATCATTTTTACCCCCTGTCGTATTTCCTCTAAATGCTTTAGTTTCAGAGTTATAAGCCGAAAAATGCATTTTACCCCCTATGTTCTATTTTTAGCCATGTCGTCCATGTTGGTTGGCAGGCGGGGTCATCGGACACATTTTTTAAACTAAATACCCTAATGATGATTGTGACCAAGCTTGGTTGAATTTGTCTATGTAGTTTCAGAGGAGAAGATTTTTGTAAAAGATTACAAAAATTTACGAAAAATTGTTAAAAATTGTCTATAAACGGCAATTACTCTTTAAGGGGTCAATTGACAATATTGGTCATGTTGACTTATTTGTAGATCTTACTTTGCTGAACATTATTGCTGCTTTCAGTTTATCTCTATCTATAATAATATTCAAGATAATAACCAAAAAACTGCAAAATTTCATTTAAATTACCAATTCAGGGGCAGCAACCAATCAACGGGTTGTCTGATTTGTCTGAAAATTTCAGGGCAGATAGATCTTGACCTAATGAACAATTTCATTCTGTCATATTTGCTCTATAAGCTTTGGTTTCAGAGATATTAGCCAAAATCTACATTTTACACTTATGTTCTATTTTTAGCCATGGCGGCCATCTTGGTTGGCGGGCCTGGTTATCGGACACATTTTTTAGTCCCTTTCCAACGAAGTCGAAGGGTATTTTAGGTTTGCACTCCGCCCGTCTGTCTGTCTGTCCGTCTGTCTGTCTGTCCATCTGTCAGTCCGGCAAATCATGTTTCCAGACTTTTTTCTTCGTGCTTGAAGATATTGATTTGATATTTGGTTTATTGTTTTATTATGACAAGTTACAGGTCAAATTCAATTTTCACGATTTTAGCTTTTCTCTTCGTTCAGTAAAAGCCCTTTCCCTAGAATTAAAATTTTGATGAAATACTTATTAATTAGTAGATTTCTGTTCAAAGGGAATTAACTCATTTTTTCAAAAGATTTTTAAAAGACAAAATGACATTTTGGATTTTTTTCCTTTTCTTTGGTAAATTGTTTGAAGAATTTAGTGGTATGTTTGTTGGCCATTCTTGAAGATATTGATTTGATGATCAGTATATAGTTTTATCATGACAAGTTACGAGGGGGACAGTTTTTGAGGAAGGAAGGAGGTGGGGGCGGGGGGTAGGAGACCAAAAATAGGTGGGAGAGAAAAAAATATTTTTAAAGTGGGAGGTGGGAGATAGGGGCGGGAGGTGGGAGGAGGGGGGGCTATAGGTGGGAGAAGGGTAACCCCTGTCCACCCTCTCAGTTACAGGTCAAGTTTGAATTTTGTTCCGGTCTGATGATTTTGTGCAGAGTTTTGGTCTTTTGACATAGAAAATTCACTTAGATAATTAGTTTTCAACAGTTTTTTTCGTCATGCTTGAGGATTTTGACTTGATATTTTTATTTGTTTACACCATGATCAAGTTAGAATTTCGTTCCAATACAATGAATTTTTAACTGGTAGGTGACTATGTATTGCCATGCAATACTCACAGAACGCTTGTTAAACTAGATACCCCAATGATGATTGTGGCCAAGTTTGGTTAAATTTGGCCCAGTAGTTTCAGAGGAGAAGAATTTTGTAAAAGTGAAGGGACGACGGACGCCAAGTGATGAGAAAAAATCACTTGGCCTTTCAGGCCAGGTGAGCTAAAAAAGTTAAAGTCATGAGGTTGATAAATCCTCTCTTTACCAAACGAAGTAATTTTAATGGCCTAAGCTCAACAAAAATTAATAATAACTTAAATAATTTATACATAAACAGAATAATTTACCATTTTTTTTTGGGCATTTTCTAAATGCAATTTAAAACCATTCTTTAAATATGTTTAGTTTTATTAGATAGACACTCAGATGACAATGATAAATTACATTATTGAGTGCCTGTCTATTGTCTTCAATTAGTAAGATTAAGTGGCAAACCTGCTAGTATCTGTTTATTAAGCATCAAGAAAATCTCACAATACATGTGATGCTACAATCAGATTCAAGTTTTCCTCCGATTAAATATGCTTACTAATGATTTCATTCTGTATGCAAAGTTGATGTGCAGAGATGGAAATGAGAATTTAACAAATCAAAATGGTATTTAACATTCTACATAAAAGAGTGCACAAACCTGCTATACTGATCATGATTGATTTGATGTTGAATGTCTTTAAGATATATATGTACACCTTACAATCATTCCATACACCAAAAACAGTTGACCTATTGCTTATAGAAACAGACATAACACGGAAAACTTAACATTAACTAATGAACCATAAACACGAGTTAAAGGTCAGATGATACCTGCCAAACAGACATGTGCACCTTACAATTATTCAAGACCCAAATATAGTTAACGTATTGCTGAAAAACAGACTTCATCATTGCCTAATGAACCATGAAAATGAGTTCAAGGTCTGATGAACCCTGCCAGACAGCATGCAAAACCTATTGCTAATAGTTTCTGTGAAACAGACCAAAACACAAAATCTTAACATTGACCAATGAACCATGAAACTAAGGTCATGGTAAGATTAAACCTGCCATTCAGACATGTACAACTTACAATCATTCCATACATCATAAAAATAAAATAGAATGGAAATGGGGAATGTGTCAAAGAGGCAACAACCCGACCATAGAACAGACAACAGCAGAAGGTCACCAACAGGTCTTCAATGCAGCGAGAAATTCCCGCACCCGGAGGCGTCCTTCAGCTGGCCCCTAAACAAATATATATATTAGTGCAGTGATAATGAACGCCATACTAAACTCCAAATTGTACACAAGAAACTAAAATTAAAAATAATACAAGACTAACAAAGGCTAGAGGCTCCTGACTTGAGACAGGCGCAAAAATGCGGCGGGGTTAAACATGTTTATGAGATCTCAACCCTCCCCCTATACCTCTAGCCAATGTAGAAAAGTAAACGCATAACAATACGCACATTAAAATTCAGTTCAAGAGAAGTCCGAGTCTGATGTCAGAAGATGTAACCAAAGAAAATAAACAAAATGACAATAATACATAAATAACAACAGATTACTAGCAGTTAACTGACATGCCAGCTCCAGACTTCAATTAAACTGATTGAAAGATTATGTCTTCATCATATGAATATCAGGCACAATCCTTCCCGTTAGGGGTTTAGTATCATACCATCATAACATATATGAGAAGAACATAACCCGTGTCATGCCAACAACTGGTTTTTAAATAAATGTGTTTAGTGCCGATGCAAAGACTCTATAAGTGAATCAATATTAACGCCAAAATATGCAATCTTTAATGACCTGACAACAGTATCGTAACTATATCCCTTCTTAATAAGTCTATTTAAAGGTTTTGTTAGCTTCAGAG